GGTTGAAAGATGTGGTGAGGGTGGTGGTGTAGTGTGGTAGTTGTAGAGTGGTGGTGGTGGTTAGTAGTGGTGGTGGTTTTGGGTGACAGTGGGTGGTGGTGGTGTGTTAGTAAGTGGTGGTGGTGTTTTAGATAGTGGTGTGGTGTTAGTGTGGTGGTGGTGGTTGGTGGGTAGGGGTGGGGGTTTGTAGTACTGGTGGTGTAGTGGTGGTGTGTAGGCGGTTGGTTATACTTGTGGGGGGTGATAGTGGTGGTGGTGGTTGTGGGGGTGGTGGAGTGGTGGTGGTGGTGGTGTGGTGGTGGTGGGGGTTTGTAGTTGTGGAAGTGTGTGGTGTTAGTGGGGGTGGGTTGTGGTGGTGGGTGGGTAGGGGTGGTGTAGGGGGGGGTTGGGGGTGTATGGTGGTGGGGGTGTAGTAGTGGGTGTGTGGGGGTGGAGTGGTGGTGGGTAGTGGTGGTGGTGTAGGGGTGTGGGGGTGTAGTGGTGGTGTGTAGTGGTGGTGGTGTAGTGGTGGGTGGGTAGTGGTGTGGTTGGTGGGTGGTGGGGGTGTAGGGGTGGTGGGGGGTAGTGGTAGTGGGGGTGTGGTGTGGTGAGGGGGTGGTGGGTGGGTGGGGTTGTAGTGGTGGTGTGGGGTGTGGGTTGGTGGTGGTGTATGGGGGGTGGTGAGTGTGGTGTAGTGAGGGTGATGGTGTGTTGGGGGTGGTGGGGTGGGTGGGTTGGTGTGTGGTGTTGTGGGTGGTGGTTTTGGGGTGAGTGGTGGTGTAGTGGTGGTGTGTGGTGGTGTAGTGGTGGTGTTGTGGTGGTGTTGTGGTGGTGTAGTGGTGGTGTAGTGGTGGTGTAGTGGTGGTGTAGTGGTGGTGTAGTGGTGGTGTAGTGGTGGTGTAGTGGTGGTGTTTGTGGTGGTGTTAGTTGGTGGTGTATGTGTGGTGTAGTGGTGGTGTAGTGGTGGTGTAGTGGTGGTTGTAGTGGTGGTGTAGTGGTGTAGTGGTGGTGTAGTGGTTGTTTGTAGTGTGTGGTGGTGTAGTGGTGGTGTAGTGGTGGTGTTAGTGGTTGGTGTTGTGGTGGTGTAGTGGTGTAGTGGTGGTGGTGGTGGTGTGTGGTGTCGTTGGTGGTGGTGGTGTTAGTGGTGGTGGTGGTGTCGTGGTGGTGGTGGTGGTAGTGGTGGTGGTGGTGGTGGTGTCGTGGTGGTGGTGGTGTAGTGGTGGGTGAGTGGTGGTGTAGTGGTGGTGTAGTGGTGGTGTATGGTTGTAGTGGTGGTGTAGTGGTGGTTGTAGTGGTGGTTGTAGTGGTGGTTGTATGTGGTTATGGTGGTGTAGTGGTGGTGTAGTGGTTATTTGGTGGTGGTGGTGGTGGTGGTGTCGTGGTGGTGGTGGTGTAGTGGTGGTGGTGGTGGTGGTGTCGTGGTGTGTGGTGTAGTGGTGGTGTAGTGGTGGTGTAGTGGTGGTGATAACTGCAGAATGGGGAACTTCATGAAGTAGACAAGCGATAATTTCTTTCGTCCAACTCGCCTTGCCCACGCCCCTCACCCACACCCTCAGCCTCACCCACACCCTCAGCCTCACCCACACCCTCAGCCTCACCCACACCCTCAGCCTCACCCACACCCTCAGCCTCACCCACACCCCTCACCTATGCCCTCAGCCTCACCCACGCCCCCTCACCCATGCCCTCAGCCTCACCCTCGCCCCTCAGCCTCACCCTCGCCCTCACCCTGAGGCGTGGGTGTGGCTGCTCATGACGACAGGCACACTTTCCTGCCGGCGAGCCCAACACTTGACTGCCCTTCCTCTCCCTCCACCTCCACCTTCTACATTTCCTCCACCTTCATCTTTCCTTCACCTCTGTAATGTACTGTTAGGACTGTTACTGTAACGAGGAAGACTTGTTATAGTGTGACCGCTGAGACACTGTCAATGCTCTCTGTTACACATATTATCTTTATTTACCATTTTTATATTGCATGATATATAATTCTTTATAACACTGAGTGAGCCAGAGGAAGATGCTTCAAACTTTAATTGCTAATGTATTATTACACTGTTTACATAACGTCGTTCATTTGCAGAGTTGCTAAACAACACAAATGATTCAGTCGAAGTTCTAGCAATAAAAATTGAGAACCGAAACCTAGTCATTGTAGATTTATGTATATAAACTGCCAGGTGTAACTTAACTTCCCAACAGCTCAAGGAACAGTTATTGATAATTGGTTAATAGTCTGGAAAATCTTCCAACTCCAGCCCCAAATATCTTGCTGCTTGGTGATTTTAATTTATGATATATAATGGAAGAATGTAGCAAACAATGTTATAGTGGAGATAATCTCAGGGAACAGCTCAGATGAAGTCACACACACATGAGCTGTTAAATATCCCTAATTAATTCATCCTACGCCAGCAAATACTGGAGCCAAATTGGAGAACACACTTGACCTTATTTTCACGGATAATGATGACATGGTACGAAATTTAACAATATTAATGATAGTTAATTCAGATCACAACCTAATCAAAGTTCAGAGTTACGAGGGTGCCTTCATCATGAAACATGCTGGGAACATATCTTAAATAACATGGCTCCAAACCAGTGTCTTGTAAGGATCAACTCTGTGGCAGCTAAGGTATGCTCAAGGCACATTCCTTAAGGAAAAAGAAGAGATGCAAACTGGAAAGAGAAGCTTCTTTCTACAGGTGAAGGAGAATAATCACTGAGCTTCTCAAGGGGACTAGATTATCTGAAATGTGGAAGGAAGCAATGACTAGGGAAGTAGAAAATACTGAACTAATGTTCAGAAGAGACAAAAGCTAAAAGCAATTAATGAAATTGAAAGAAATTCATTTTCTTTCAAATGCCAAAAACAAGGTTAAAACCCCATCAGGCTCTTACTCAGACAAGATGGGACTTACACGGACGACAGCAAAAAAATGCGTGAGATACCAGGTTTCAATATGACTTTAGTGAGCCGTTAATTAGATTAAAGATCGACAATCCTAATGATTTTTTTACGAACGAGACTCAATACCTTGTTAATATATGCCAAATTTCTGACATAACCCTAACTCAACCAGACATGTCTATGCCTTGTC